AGAAAAGAGAAAATTCAGTATCTTTTTGGATAGAAAAATATTTCTTAACTGAAACATGCAATAATATCTGCTTTATTTGTCATATTAATTATATTCCTAACACATGACAATTTTAAGCATCACTATACTGACAAAGTGAGTCAGAATATAATAAATTAAACAAAGAAAGAAGAAAAATGAAACTAGATTAATTGAAAAAGCAGTTTAATTCTCAACAAAGCATTTTAAAAAAATTTGTTGTTAAAACTGATAAATGTACAAAAATTAGCTATTTAATAGCTGAAAAATTGGCTCAGAAGAATAAACCACTGGTAGATGGTGAATTAATAAAAGAATTTATTGTAATTGCTTTTATAACAGCAACTGCACACCGGGATGTATAAAGTAAATATGACGTACCAAACCTATAACCGATGCGTATCTAATTGTTCATTCAACGACAAACGTTTTCTTAACCCCTTCTGGGCTCTTCTTCAGGTGCAAAGCTGGATCGAACAACAAACAACGAAATTTGAATAAATCCGAACTCTATTGAATTTGAATCGTTCAGTTTGTTCGCTTATTCCGTTGCGTGATATGCTTGAAAGTGTTCTAATTTGACGATTAATGTTCAATTTAAGAGAAAGATATTAATGTGATAACGTGTTAGTGAGATACACAATTATTTAACATTCTCACATGTTCCCCAGTACCTTTTATTTTAAGGCTTAATAAATATTATTTCGCTATTACTCTGTATGTAGTAGGTTTTGCCATGCCATGGAAAGGCCGATTTCGTCTCTTGAATTAAGGCATATGACACATCCAATTGTATTAATTCAAGAGACGAAATCGGCCTTTTCATGGCATGGCAAAACCTACTACATACAGAGTAATAGCAAAATAATATTAAGCCTTAAAAAGGTACTGGGGAACATGTGAGAATGTTAAATAATTGTGTATCTCACTAACACGTTTTTTAAGTATCACATTAATATCTTTCTCTTAAATTGAACATTAATCGTCAAATTAGAACACTTTCAAGCATATCATGCGACGGAATAAGCAAACAAACTGAACGATTCAAATTCAACAGAGTTCGGATTTATTCAGATTTCGTTGTTCGATCCAGCTTTTCACCTGAAGAGCCCAGAAGGGGTTAAGAAAACGTTTGTTGTTGAATGAACAATTAGATACGCATCGGTTATAGGTTCGGTACGTTATATTTACTGTAACTGCTTTTAATGAAAATTGTCCTGAGAAAGTTAAAAGACTCATTTCATTGAATAAGTTATGTCAGACAATTGGTAGAAGAATTGAGGACATAGCTGACAGTACAGTGAGTACATTGCAGACCCATTAGAGAGGTTGCACCCGACGTTTTCAGCGTGGAAACGTGATCTGACGTTCATGTTTCCTTGCTGAAAACTTCAGCCACATCCTCACTAATATCTAAATGTGTTCATTACAGTTTAGCATTGGATGAAAGTACCAATCAAAGTGACATTGTAAAATTGATTATTTTCGTAGAAGGAATTGACATCATATAAATGATTCCATATAAAGGGGCAAGGACATACTTTAGCATTTTAATTTAGCCATTAAAAAGTTCAATATTGATAGAAATAAAATTTATTCAATTACAACTGATGGTGCTCCTGCATTAATTGGTAAAAATAATGGATTTATTACTTTATTCAAAGAATCGGTTGATCATTTTACCTGAATTAACTACTATTACTTGATTCATCATCAGCAATTGTGTGCTCAAAAGTTAAATATGAATCAGTTGATAAAATTTACAACTTTCACAAGATCTATCAGATCTCGGGCTTAAACCATCATGAATCCAAAGTACACTTGGAAGAAGTTGGCAGTGAGTATGACTTAAAAGTAAGATGGCTCAGTAAAGCAGAAACTTTGAAAAGATTTCAATTATTGTTACCTGAAATAGAATTCATGCAAAGCAAGAAGCAAAATGTAATTTTTTAGAAAACAAAGAATGGTTGAATGATCTTGCCCTCTTAGTAGATATTACTGAAATGTTGTCTAACTTTAACTTGCATTTACAAGGAAAAGACCAGTTATGTTGCACAATATTTGACCAAATAGACTAAGAAGTTTCAACTTTTTGATAACACAATTGAAAGCTTGTGAAATTTTTCTTTTTAATAAACTTTAAAAATGCACAAAGAATTTCTTGTAAACTTTGAAAAATATAGTAAATTATGTGAAGGTTTGTTAAAAGATTTAACAACCAGATTTTCTGACTTCAGAAAAAATAGAAACTGAATTAAAATTGTTTAGTGATCCATTTTCACTTAACTATGTGGAACCACCAGCTAAAACTCATTGAACTTCAAAGAAGGGAATCTTTAAAAACTTATTAGAGAGAACATTCCCTTCTTGAATTTTGTAAAGAAGTTCATTCTTTCAATAAATTTGATGAAATTGTCAAATTTATCTAAAAAAACTGTTATGCATATAGGGTAGTAAATACTATTGTAAACAATTCTTTATGTGCATGAAAAACATGTGCATGAAAAACATTAAAACTTCTGAAAGAAATAGTTAAATAGGAATCACCCAATCTAACATTATAATTAACACTAGTACCATAAACAGTGACAATATTATTATAAAAAGGAAGGTAATGTCAAAAATTGCATTGAATTTATTGTTATTTTGTGTGAGTATAATTTCCTTTTTACTGTCAATAATACAGTATTTTTTTATAATTTGGCCCATTAGGAAAAAAGATTGGACAACTCTGGGTTAAATGATGAACTTTAGACACTCAAAAATCTGATGACAAAAAATTAATTTGATTTTTTTATTTCTTCATATGACAAATTGATTTTTCAGGTTTTATTTTATTAACAGAATGTACATGGCAAAATTTTACACAAAGATCATAAAATAAGTACAAATAAATATTTATCTTGTATATAATAAAAAATTGGAATATTATGGAATGTTTGCTCTCACTAAACTGGCAACTGCTAATTCTAAAATTATTTTGAAAACCACTAGATTATAAAATTATAAACAACAATTTTAAACAGTAAATTCATATTTTATTAGATTTAAATTATGTGATACGAACATATGATTGTATATTCCAATACTGTGACAATTTATACACACATTCTACTACACATATATTTTACTATGGATATAATATATATATGTATATACTGTATATATATATATATTATAAAAGTAATAGTTAATCTTAAATGGAGGAAAAAAAAGCTGCATAAAAATAAGCATTTATACAGTACATTGTTTTGAAAATGCTAAATAACATAGTCTAGAGCCTGCTGATAATTTCTTTTATTTAAATATAGCTGCATAGTGTTTAATACAATATATATTGCTTTAATTAATTTGACAAACTTTGTCTGGCTGTTGAGATTCATGACATACTAAATTTTAAAAGATACAGAATACTGGAGAATATCCAAATAATTATTTTATATTATACAATAAAAAATATAAAAATTTTATAAAAGTATCTCTTGAAAAATAAATAATCATAACATAAAATTAAAAATAGAAATTAAATTAAATATCTAATGAAAATTTTACTGTACATATCACCAACAATATAAATCACAATTCATTGAAATTTCGAACTGAATTTCAGTTCTTTTAATTAATTTGTTATTATTTATAATAATAATATTGAAAATTTAATAGCATTTATAAATTTATTGCATATTTGGTTGAAAATTTATTCTTAATTATACATGCTTTTATAGATTACTAACTCACAAATACACAAGTTATTTGTTTGAATAAACATGGAAAGTTTTATATATAAACTAAATTTAATTTGTACATAAATGTTTTTTAAATATATATATTTTTAATAAATAATAGTTAGTTTATTTAATAAGTTTTGATGACCTTAAATAAACATTATTTTAGCACACTTAAAAATTATATTAAATAAAGTCACATTTGCATATTTGATAATTCATTTTAAATAATAATTCTTATTTATATAATATAAATAAAAAATTAAAATGAATATATTAGTAAGAATATTAGAGAAGTAACTTCAAATATCAACTGACTTAATACTGCTAAATACACATAGGTAAATATCAATAAATTCAAAATTAATGAATTGAGCGATGAAATAATATAGGAACTCCTTTCGTTAAAATATAAAATATTGCAACAATTTAACTGAATAACTTCATAAAAATCATTATATATAATTATTTCATTTTTCCTGCAAAATTTAAAGTATATTCTATATCATCAATTGAAAATAAAACATCAATCTTAATATATTTGCACATTATATTATAACCATAATGATGTGTCATCATTAAGATGAGATCTGTACAAATACCGATACATTTAATTGTTTTACGAGATTTTACACGACAATTCAAAATTCATTAAAAACAGTTTATAAATTTTGATAAATTTTTTAAAGGAAGATTTTTGTTCTTGACGATTATATTTATTCAAATGTAAAATTAAATCAGTATTTAAAAAAACTTTATTTTATAAATTTTTTTAATAATTTTAAAAATAAAATATAATGTCAATACTAACTTTGATGTTAATCCAATCAATCATTTTTGCAAATATAAGAGTTCTAACTCATTAATTCTGCAAAATGATTAAAAGAAAGTTTATGAAAAATGTACACAATTTTTAGTTTACAATATAAACTGTTTATGATCTGTATATGATGAACAATCCATTTTAAGTGTTAATGGATAAATCTTAATACTTATTCAAATGTATACAATATTTTTGTTATGGTAAATAGTCTTACATATTTAATAAAAATATAGCAGGTTTTGATATTGTTTTTTTGTATAAAATAGAATTTATAGCTGGATGATGGATGTAAAAATTTTTTTTATACATAACACAAATATATTTGAAAAACTTTTTGAACTCAAATTATAATTTTATTTTTTGCTTTAATCTTCACAGAAACAATACATTATAAAATAAATATAAAATTTTACAAGTTAATACATTTTTCTTTTTTTAACTGGTATAAAATTTCTTTATTATGAAATTTTTTTCATTTCATTCATAAATTTGAAGATGAAAATTTATAAGCTATGATAAGAAAATGAACACAGCTCACTAACATCAGGAAAAAACTCATTATGTCAATCCACAATAAAAAATAAAAATTTAATTTAATATCATTCTTCACTTTGACATTTGTAATAAATACTAAACTATCATAACCTGTCTTCATAAAATTAAGTATTTTAATACATAAGGATGGAATGTAAGATAAAAGTTTGATTAATAGCTTTGAATTTATATTATCAGTGATATGCTTATATCTTTAATAAGAGTCATTTTCTTTGATTTTATCATCATAATCACAGAAATTTATTAATATCTAGTAAATATGACTAAATTAAAAGAAGATATTCTTACATCAGATGGAATGTTGAAAATCATAGGAAGAACTAATAATTTTTATATATTATATTCTCAACTATCTTCAGGAAAACTTACAACAAGTATGATCAGTACTTTCATTTGTATTATTAAGTCCTGTCTGAAGCTCATTAACTGTTCTCACTCCAAAACGAGGATTACTCATTTTTGCTTCCCTTGTAAGTCTGATAGCAATTTCCGTGAATAGTTTTTCAACATTGTCCGATTCTTTTGCAGATGTTTCAATAAAATACATATCATGATTTCTTGCAAATTCCTCTCCAATATGACGTGGAATTTCTCTATCTTCTTTATCAATTTTATTTCCTATAAAATCATAATTTTTTAAAAAGTAAATTACTAGTCGCTACAAAATTTAAGAAAATAAATTCATCATATTGAATTTATATTTATAGTTTAAGCTGTTTCAATTAACAAAATTTAAAAGTTTGTTAACAGTTACATAATTATATTCTTTTTCACTTATTTTATAAATTAATTTTTAAAAAAAAAGATAATTTTAAGAAAGTTACTTAAAAATTATTTTTAATGCAGTATGTATTATTTTATTGAATAGACAGAACTTTCTACTTCGGAAAGTAGTCATTTGACTAAGACAATTTTAAAGTAATAAAAATCATATCATTCTAATTGATGCTATATTTAGAATGTGACAGCAAAAAATAGTTTAACGTCATGGCCTTCAAAGAATTTTCCAAGTCAAAATTTAGTGAGTAAATACTTCATTGAGTATTGTGTAACATTTTACAGTGTACACAAACTCACTCACACCTCAATATAGAGCCCTATTCATTAACACCATCCTAAAGAACCAATGAATATATGCAAATGGATTCTCTCCATAAATATTGCATTTGCTGATATTTATGAGGAGAATTAGCAAATGAAAATGGTTTCTTCAATATTTTAAATTTATTAACTAAGTCTTCTTCACTTTTGTCTTGCCCAATCACCAGCAAAAAATACTTTTTCCTCACAGAGATGACCATTTTATTTTACATAATTTTGCAGAAGCATAGCATCAATAGAAAAGTCATCTCTGCGAGGAAAAACTTTTTTACTGGTGACTGGACAAGATGGAAGAATGAAAAAGACTGTTTCTTCAATATTTTAAATTTGTGAAATATACTGTGTGCCATTTTAATTTGAAAATAATTAAGCAAATAGCAAAGCAAATGCTTCAACCTCTGAATTACTAAATATATGATTTTGCTTTGTAAAATGGCATTGTTACCACCAAAATTATGTAACTTTGAAACTAAAGTTTGTATAGACTCATTACTTTATATAATTTTTATTGTTTAAGGTGCTTCAGTTTAATCCACAGTCAATTTAGTACCACTTTCAGAGGCAAATAATAATAATAAATTGAGGTTTAACTGAATACAAATATTAGATCAAATCAAACAATACTTTCCCGCAGTGACTATGTATATTATTTCTTGTTAGAAAAAGGAAAATTCATATAAAATATAAACTAAAGATTTAAAAATTAATTTTTTTTATAAAGATAATTTGAGGACAAGATTTCACTCCACAAGTCTGTCATTTACTATGCTGACAACTTTCACAATATTACACATGAAACTAATTCATAAATAAAGTAACTAATATATTTGAGTGACACTGACACATATGTACAGTACCTTATCATGTAATATAATATAGGCATAAAAACTATATTCTAACTAAATATTATTTATTATTTTATGAACATTAAATTTATTTAGTTAATTTTAATTAACTAAATAAAGATTTAAATATGTATAGAAAATAGTTTTTCAAATCTTAAAATAATGCAATTATTACCAGGTGTTATTGCTAGTATAAAATGTATTTTTGCATTACAAAAGGTATTTTAATACTGAATAAAAATAAAACATTTGAATGTTGATAACATGATTATAAAGTTAGAAGCCAACATATTATAACCTTAGTAGAAATTACTGAAAAAATAAACAACTTACCTACAAGTGCTCTTAGAACTTTTGGATTAGCATATTGTTCAATTTCTCTAAGCCAATCTGGAAGGCAGTCAAATGTTGGTTGACTGCTGATATCATAAACTAGTATAAGTGCATGAGCACTTCGATAGTAACTCTGTGTTATGGATCTAAATCTTTCTTGACCTGCTGTATCCCATATCTGAAGCTGTAAAAAAAGTTTAAAATACTTTTTAATAATTACATATTAATGGGCAATTTATCCTATTAACATGTTAATGGCACAAAATTGACAAATCAAAACATATTACTGGCAAATCAGTATCTACTTAAAGCAATCAAATAGTTATTTAATTTTATTTGAATGCTGCTATGATAAATATTTTATTTTAAACACAATATAATATAACACAATATCTTCAGCACTTTCAACTTAGTTTTTATTATTATTAAAATAACTTAATTCAAACATTTGATTCATGACAAAAATAAGATGTTCATCTAAATTATGATTTACTTGGTAATTTATATCACTATATATTAGTTTGAAAATAACATTACCTTATTTGTCTTGTTCTCTAGTTACTAATAATTTTTGTTTATTCAGTACAAATTCAATAAAGCGAATGTTTCTAACCTATTTAACAAGTCACTTCAGGTTATAAATCATTCAAATGTAAAATATAATTTATAACTTTAAAACTTTACTGGAAGTGAAGATTTAGAACAAAATTAAAATCCAGCAACGAGTTGGTTAACTTTCATGTCTTGTTAACATCTCTTGTTACATTTTATTAAAAAAACTATATTTTTAACTATTATAAAATGGTAAAAAGCTTAGTTTTGAGGGTAGGGAGGGTTTTATAAAAAACTGTAAATGCTAATAACAAGTAAAATAATCAATGCTAATAACGAGTAAAATTGTCATAAAGTCCAACCCAACTTGAGATATGACACACGACCCCTTATCTCTCCACCCCAACCTTTAAAATCAAAATTTAATAGCATCAATCCCCCTTATACACAAACCTCTCTGCAAAATTTCAGAAATTTTTGACATAGGAGTTTTTAAGCTTCAAAGAAAGTGAACAAAATTTTGCCCCCACAGAAAAAACCCTGAATTTTTTTTCATTTCTCAACATTAAGGTCCCAAGTCCAAAAATGTAAAAATTTGGAGGGAGTCATTTTTTGACCTATCACCATACTTTCCCTATGTTATATAGAACAGTTGGGAAAGTAAGAGAATCTGAATATAAACAACAGTGATAAAAGTAAAATGCAATATTGTTTTTATTAATTTCTTCATGTTATTTTAAGCTGCCCTAAATTTCAAATATTGATTATATTTTATTCTTTTTTTTTGTTCTAAATCTTTAAACTTTACTGAAATTTAAATTTGATTCTATATTTGAAGTATTTTTAATATAAACAGGCTGAACAGGTTAAACAGGTTGAAAATGTTTTAATAAACAGTAAAACTATTTCTTTTTATTCAAACTTTTTCAACTCAGATTTATTTAGTTTGTTACTTAAGCATAATACTAATGATGATTAACATTACAAATATTAATATAAAAAACCTAAATGCTAACTAGTAAAAAAATTTAAATGATTATAGAAACAAATAATAAAAAATAATAACAACAACTAGAAACTTATGTAAAAACTATTGTATCGCATCACGTTGCAATGACTCTTGAAAATGATATTAATTTTAAAAACTTTATAAATTAAAATTTGCAGATAAATTTTTTAATGCAAAAAACTTTTGTTCAAAACAATCTTTATATATATATATATAATCTATATATAGAAAAAACCATACCTAAATTATAATAATCCAACGATAGAGCCAGAATAATTATCAGGCTAAAAGATGGCTAATTAATTAAACATCAATTTACATGATATTATGAAAGTTTAGACTAAGGGAATATAGTTATGTGCAATCTACCTTTAGTCCAAAACTGCATATCTTGTAAATTAATTAGCCATATTTAATTCAATAGCCATTCCAGCTCTTGTCATTTGATTATAAACATTTTATATTTTTTTGCTTTACTTCTATATACCCAAATTGCTGATTGATTAAAGAAATGAAAATTTAGATGTTTCTTGAAAATGGTAGTCCAGCTGTAACAAATTAAGGTTTGTTGGTTTTATCAATTTCAAGAATTATTATTATATAAGAATTATATCAGATCAAAGCAATTTGAAACTTTCCTTTAATTTCAGAATATCTTTTGAAATTTTTTTTATAAAAAGAAAACATACATATAAAGGAAATATTTAATATTTTTTACATTGAATATTAATTAAAATTGTCCAACTTATATGGGACATCCTTGGATTTGAACAAACCAAGTCATTAAGAATAGGCCTTTACTTCCTTTTTTTAAAGATATTTAATACAAATATACTTTATTACACATATGTAGATTATTATTACAATGAAAGGGTTATCATACACACGAAGCTATTAATGCCTTATATATCCCTAAAATGCATTTTGACCCCTGGTGTTAATGCTCTTTTCAGTTATATTTTACAAATATTGTTTATGTAAGACAAAAATTTAGCCAAAAGAATTTATTACAAGACTCAATTACAAAACATTAAAATTATAAACTATTAAGAATCAAAAATGTTTAAAACTATACACTTAGCTGTCTACAGCTAAGTGTATGGTTTACACCTGAGGCCAAAATACATTTTAGGAATATATAAGGGATTAATAGTTTCAGGTGTGGTAACTCTTTCATTGTAATAATATTCTACATATGTGTAACAAAGTATATTTGTATTAAATAAACCAATTCATATCAAAATCTGCAAGCAGACAAATTCAAAGTTAATGAGAATGTTGTTGATACCATTCTTCTGTAAAATTATAGTTGTTCAATAGAGGTCTCTATTCAGTGACTTCTCGCTTGCTACTGTGCCAATGAAGACTGTATAATGAAACATAGGCAACTGCATAAACTTATTTATATAGGGAAACAAAATATGATTTGAAAATTGTGATCAATTCAACTAATGTGGTATTGAGATTGGTTGAAGTCCACATCAGGATGGCATCTCCAAAAAAAGTTATTTGCATCTTTTTATAGCTTCTGTAATTATTCAAGGAAACCATAATGCAACCACTTTGCTTTTGCTGAATTGTACATTTTGTAGTAATGCTTAGTGTTTTGATACTTTTATTGCAATTCTTCATCTGCATTATCCTTAAGGTCCTACTGCATATCTTCCAAATTCTAAAGAAAAAATACTGTCACTAGTGAACTAATTGATATCAAAACTGAGTTGTGTGCATATTTTGATGCATATGCAAGCATCCAAAATGTAAGAATGTTCCTTGTGATCAGAGACCTCTACTAGACAACTTCAGAGTTTTATAGAAGAATGATTATCACCAGTTTACTCACCAATGTTCAAATGTAGAAAGTGTCCTTTGTTACTTTGCTAGATAGCTCAAGTTATATAATAAACAAGTATCCAATTCCAAGATAGGAAGGTATCCAACTTAACGGTTTACTGTACATAAAAGTGTATATAACTTGGCACTACATGAAAATAGTGTCTTGTTATACATAAAAAGAGTGTGTATTCAAGTTGGACAGTTGCTTAGACAACTGTCCAACTTGAATACTTTAGATTTACTGTACTTTTTGGAACAAAAATAATTAAGTTAGACTTTAAATGTAAAGAGTTTTCTTAACTACAGTGGGTGATTAGTTAACAAACATAATCCAGTCCAAGACTGTTCGTTATCCGATTATTGATTTACCATAGGTTTTTATGGGAATTTGATTAATTCATTCCAGAGACTCCAAAAAGTAAAAACTATATACTTTTTCCCTATGTTTATTTATATGTAATAGTAAAAATACATATATATGCAGTCTTCCATTTTTATTAGTCATGTTCTTTCCATTTGTGGGGGTTAAAGAATCTATCCAATTCAATTGCTTTTTTCTTTCCTTCAGGATTTTTCAGAAGTAATTAATAGTACTGTAATTGTAGAGATCCCCAACCTCATTAACCTTATTCTGGTTTGGATGCCAGTTGGATGACCATTGTTCTTACTTCCTCCCAATTCTTCAAAAGATCTTTAGTAGCAGATGTTGACATTAGTCCTCTTTTGTCTTCTTTTTCAAAAGAAAACACATCTCGCAGAGTTTCTTGGTATTCTTCATTTGAAAGTTCTGGAGTTCTTCAGATCAGTTTCAGGTTCCATTATAAGCTCTAAAAGGCTATTTATTTCTCAGATGTGATTTTCATTACTCCATTAGCAGCTTGAGACTTCTTGATATATCTTTCATAGTTAAGATTGTGCCTACTGTAGACCTATTCAAGCCATACTGCCTAGCAACATCTTGTGCCCACTTTCTACCTTGGCTATTATCTTTTACTTAATTGTTTTTATGGTAAGCACAGTTCTTGACACTCCTCTTTTTAGGCTCCATAATATTATCAGTTTCTTTTTTAAATAAAAAGTTCAGAAAAACACTTATAAAAATTCAGAGAACAGAAATCAACTAGTCCACAAAAAATTATTTAAATGCAAGGCCTGGATGAAATTTGAAATTTGGTATTAAAACATTAACAAATATCCGATCGGACAGTTAAACTTTCACCTTTTGTAAATAAACCCCGATCCAACCCGGATGGGCACTTGTTTTAACAAGTGCCCATCCGACAGTCTTGCGAAGACTACAAAATTATTTGCCAGAAAAGTAAACAAAAAGCTAGAATTACAAGGGAGAGTTTCAAAATTCGGAGGAATACTATCAGATCGGTATTGGGTTGAGCGTCGATGTTGACATCTCCTGCACTCCAAAAGGTTTCAAATTTTTGCCTAAAGAGAAGGGAAAAAAGTCAATCAGTATTTGTTATTTTCCATCGCTTCTTTTTATGTTTGTTCAGTAAAGTGTTTGTTGTTCGATCATAAAAATCTTTTGTGAAAGTGTTCGTTATCCAATTTGTTCGCTATCTGAACTGTTCGTTAACCAATCACCCACTGTATTTACATTACACAGACATAAAATAGGTGTCAGTTATTACATTCACTTCGCAACTAGCCTATACTGATGACAACCAAATAATCAAATTACCTTCATTGCAAAATGTTACCAAAATTAGTAGAAATTATAGTTTTATTGAATCATATAATTAGCTTAATACGTTTTTTAGACTAACAAAATG